CTGGCTATCCCTAATCAATTGTTGCCTCTCTAAAAGTCCACAAATATTATCTTGTATAATCAACTCTAACAATTTACCAAAACTAAAGTCAGGCTCACAGGTCTATAGTTCCCCAGTTTCCCCTTACAACCTTTCTTAAACAAAGGTACAACATTTGCCACCCTCCAGTCATCAGGCACCTCACCCGTAGTTATAGATGATACAAATATTTCTGCAAGGGGTCTCATAATTTCCTCCCTTACTTCCCACAACATTCTGGGATACATTAGATCAGGTTCCGGTGATTTATTTACCTTTATATTCTCTAAGACATCCCGAACTTCCTCTTCTGTAATGTGAACTGTTTTTAAAACTTCAAAGTTTATTTCTCTGCATTCACTAGACTCCTTTTCTTTCTCCACAGTAAAAACTGACGTGAAATAATCATTTACTATCTCTCCCATCACCTGAGATTCAACACAAAGACGACCTCCTTGATCTATAAGAGGCCCTACCTCTCTCTAGTTACCCTTTTGTTCTTAATGTGTTTGGATTATCCTTAATCTTATCTGCCAGTGCTATCTCATGTCCCCTGTTTGCCTATATTTCTTATATTTGTACTAAGACTGTTTCAATGAATTCTTGTACTCTAAAATAATTATTTTATTCTAATGTTAAGAGCTTTGATACTCTTTTCTCAAAAAATATATTGGAGTCTCTTGTGAATGTACTCAGTGACTGACTACTACAGGCACCAAATTGCAAAAGCAAACCTTATCATCTATCACATTCCATCTCGGGAGCCTGCAGGCCAATGGCCTGAACGTGGATTTTACCAATTTCAAAATCTCCCCATCCCTGGCCTCATCCCATGACCAACCCTCCCTCTTATCCCCACCTCCGTGACCTGACACAACCTGTCCATCTTCTCTCCCACTTATCCACCCCTCCCACCTCACTGACCAATCCCTACCACTGCCTACATGCACTCACCTATCGCCATCTCATCTACCTTCCCCAGCCCCACCTCTCCTCTCTATTTATTTCTGAGCTCCCCTCCCCCTCCCCATTTCTGAAAAACGGTCTCAACCCGAAATGTCAGCTTTCTTGTTCCTCTGATGCTGCCTGGCCTGCTTTGTTCCTCCAGCTCCACACTGTTATTCTCATGATCTATCAAGCCAGGTTTTACTGGGTTCTGACTTGTCAAAAAGTGCCATTAGCTTTGACCATAGAGGTCATTAAAAACAGAACAAAAATCTTCTCTTTTAATTAAATGATTGATCGATTCAAGGGCATTTCAAGTGTCTCACCTTAACTAGAGATACAAAGAGGCATTCAAGTCCAGACATTCCTTCCGAGAAAAGATGGCCACATTGAATTCTCAGCTGAAATATACATCCAAAGGTGTAATTCATTCCCACTCTGATCTCACTGGCCCTACATTGTTCCAGTGAAACTCAAGGAATGCCTCATTCTTTTGATTAGGCACTTTGCAGTATTCTAAACTCAACACTTCTGCAGCAAATTTTAGACATTTAAAACTGAGAAGATTTGTAGTTTGGGTTGTGGATGAGGTTGTAGATTTGCTCGCTGAGCTGGTGTGTTTGGTTGCAGACATTTTGCCACCCTGCTAATTAACATCGTTGGTGCACCTCCAGTGAAGCATTGGTGTTCTGTCCCGCTTGTTATTTACATGCCTCAGTTTGCTAGGGTGGTTGGCATCACTTCCGGTTCTGTTTTTCAGTGGTTTGTATAATCGGGTCCAGTTCAATGTGTTTGTTGATGGAGCTCTGGTTGGAATACCAGGCCTCCAGGAATTCTATGGCATGTCTCTATTTGGCTCGTGCTATTATAGATGTGTTGTCCCAGTTGAATTTGTGTCCTTCTCTGTCCGTGTGTATTGAGACCTGTGAGAATTGGTCGTGTCTCTTGGTGGCTAGTTAGTGTTCATGTATCCTTATTGTCAGTTTTCTTCCAGTTTGGCCTATGTAATGTTTTTCACAGTCCTTGCATGGTATTTTGTACATAACGTTAGTTTTATAAGTTGTGGGTATGGGATCCTTTATGTTCATCAGTAGCTGTTGCAGGGTGGTTGCTGGTTTGTGGGCTACCCTGATACCTAGGGGTCTGAGTAGTTTTGTGGTCATCTCTGTTAGGTCTCTGATGTACGATAGGGTGACTAGTTGTTTACTGCTCCCATTTCATTGGTCAGGAGCTGTTGATAAGGATTGTGCTATTGATATTTACACCTCTTCCATATTTTTGGTTTCTTTATTGCCCTATAACCAATCTCTTTTGCCTTGCAACATCATCCTTTTATCATTTAATTTCATCTGCTTTCCATTCTAACACGGACGTTCCTCTTTATTCTGAAGGAGAATCACTGGACCCGAAACGTTAACTCTGCTTTCTCTCTATAGATGCTGCGAGATCCGAGTTTTTCCAGCTGTTTTTGTTGCTGATTTCCAGCATTTGCAATTCTTTGAATTTTTTTCATTCCTCTCAGTTCTTTCCATCCCATTCCCTGCAGCTACACTTGCTTAAAATCTGCTACACCACTAACTTCTTCCAGCTGAGAGGAAAAGCAATTGATCAGAAATAAATTTAGTTCACAGATGTTGCCTGATCTGCAGCATATTTGTAGTGTTTTCTGTGCTTTTATAATCGTTAATTCACTTCCTACAATGCCCAAAGCTAATGAATTCAAAATGATGTGGATGCCATTTCCATATAGCTTTGACAGTTACATAGGAACAGAAATCCTGGTCTAATGCTGAAGATTGTTACATTTACAGTACGTTTCAATTTTTACAAAAATACCACTGAATCAGGAAATACTTTGATGCAAGTCCTGAAAATAAAAATAGAAAATGGCAAGTGACTGTAGATCAAGGGTGACACTTGAAGAATAAACAGTGGTAACTCGCAAAGCATTCACCCAGTCTGCCTTTGGACTGCAAACGGTGGAGCAGACGTGGTGAAGGGTTGCGTTTTGGACTGGTGGCCTGTGACTAGCAGTGTTCCACAGGGATCAGTTCTGGGTCCTCTTTTGTTTGTCATTTATAGAAATGATTTGGATGAGAATATAGAAGGCATGGTTAGTAAGTCTGCGGACAACACCAAAATTGGTGGCATAGTAGACAGTGAAGAAGGCTAAGATTACAAAGGAGTCTTGATCAAATAGGTCAATGGGCCGAAAAAGAAAGGCAGATGAAGTTCAACCTGGATAAATGCAAGGTATTGCATTTTGGTACAATAAACAAGGGTAGGGTTTATACAATTAATAGTAAGGCCTAAGGTAGTGCTGTAGAACAGAGGGACCTCGGGGTGCAGGTACATAATTCTTTGAAGTCTATGTCACATATGGACAGGGTGGTTAAAAAGGCATTCAGCATGGTTGCGTTCATGGCTCAGTCCTTTGAGTAATGAAGTTAGGAAGTTACTTTGAGGTTGTACAGGACATTAGGGAGGTCTCTTCTGAAATACTGTGTTCAGTTCTGGTCGCCCAGTTATAGAAAGGATATTATCAAGCTGCAGAGGGTTCAGAACAGATTTACCAGGATGTTGCTGGGTATGGAAGGTTTGAGTTATAAAGAAAGGCTGGATAGGCTGGGACTTCTTCCATTGGAGCGTAGGAGGTTGAGAGGCGACCTGATAGAAGTTTATAAATAGATAGGTATAGATACAGTTAATGGTAGTTTTTTTTCCCCCAGGATGGGGGACTTCAAGATAGGGGGCACAGTTTTAAGGTGAGAGGAGAGAGAGATTTAAAAAAGACATGAGGCAAATTTTTTTTTTTTTTTTTGAACACAAAGGCTGGTTCACGTGTGGAGAAAACTTCCCGAGGAAGTGGTGGATGTGGGTATAACTACAATGTTTAAAAGGATATATGAATAAGAAAGGTTTGGAGGTATATGGGCCAAGAGCAGGCAAGTGGGACTAGTTTAGTTTGTGATTATGTTCAGCATGGACAGGTTAAACCAAAAGGTCTGTTGCCGTGCTGCTCGACTCTATGACATTCCTTCAATGTGGTACACTAAGTTGAAAGGAGGATCAATAAGTCACTTTTTAAACTGCAAAGTGTGTTTGTGGGCCTTATCAGTAGCAGAGGAAAGAAGAGACATGTTGCATCTCCTATGCTTGCACAGGAATTTGCTGTGGAAGAGGAGGTGCTATTGGTGGTGGTGGGGCTGTAAGGAAAAATCAAAGGTGAACTGGAATATCACAGAGGGAATGGCCTGTTCAGAACCGATGCCTGGCGGTAGCTGAAGGTGGCATACGTGGTCATGGATGATTTGTTGACATTGAAGGGAAGGACAAGGTGTACTAATTCATGTTTCTAGAAACGAGGAGAAGGCATGAGACCAGAATGCAAGAAATGGGATGGAGACTAACAGCCATGACGAATCCTCAATTAGAAAAAAAAACCATTAGAAGCACCAATTATAGAAGGCTCCGTCATCAGGATTGATGCAAAGGTGACAGAGGAACTTAGAGAATAACAGCCTTATAAGAACATGGCAGGAGAAAGTATAATTAAGGTCACTAAAAGTGCAGTTGGTCACAGCCTATTCTCAGGAATGGAGATAGAAAATCTGAAAAAAAAAAAGGGAACAGTCAGATGGAACATGTGAAGGCGAGGGAATGGCAGAAATTGGTAGCAAGATTGATTACATTTTCAAAGTATTGGCAAGAGCAGTTATAAAACTGATACTTGTACGCACATCTAAAATGTTAAATATCCAAGACATGCAGTCCAATTTTAACTGGATGAAAACACTTAAAATTCAGTTTTTACAACTGCACTATCAGCTTACTTTCAAATAAATGTTTTTAGCTACGCATTCATCGCAAAGAGAAAAGGTACAAACACAAAGTAACATTAATGCACAGTGTCAAAGCACTTTCCATCTTCATAAAAGGGAACATAAACATTCAAATGTCAAAAAGGTAAACATGTTGGTGGGTGGAACATTATTAATAATTGCAATTTTCTATTGTTATGTGCATGCCAGACTAACCTGCCAGGTTCAAATGTAGGAGAAGCCATCGGAGAGAGCTCCAAATTGAAGAAAATTATGCCCTCTGTAGGCCGACTAAGTTTGGGAGTAACAAGTTCACATGATACTTGTGCAAGGACCCTGAAACGATAGTTAAAGACAAAGTTAGCATCTTTTATTTCAACTCTAAAAAAGAAAAACATCTCTGCATAATAATGGACAATATTAAAATCATATTACAATACAACAAAGATGCCCGATTCTGGACTTAAAATACTTTAACCCAGGGCCATCCAGATAGAGGTTAAATATCTTGACATGATTCAATGACAAGCAAGAAGCTTTCCCGCTATCTTGGTAAAATAATTTTTCCTTGGCAAAAATAATTGAATTAAGAAAAATAGACAAAGAACAAGGTTTTATTTAATCACCTCCTTCCTAGCATGCCTTTTTGTTATTACTTCCTCACTCCAGAAATATGTTTCCTACATTCTGATGGAGGAATTAAACAATTTTAGTTAATTGTGTAACCGCCAATCACAGTCTGCCTCTTCACAAGCCCTTCTTTAAACCCATGTGGTCTGTCACTTTGGATAAGCAAAATCATTTCCTTCTTGGAGGAGAGTTTCACTTGAAATCTATGCCAGCATTTAATTTTCATTGAACACTACAAAAACAGTGGATCTAAGTTTGGAATTGGCAGCTCTCTGGCACAGGCCTGGTTGCACTTGGCATCCCAACAGAAAACAAGCGACACTTTAAGCCATTGCTATTGACACCCCTTGAACAGGAAAGAGATGCAAAAACTGTGTCATAGAAATGATTTTGTAGTGAAGTGCTTAGTAATTTTCTCAAGCTGATGCATCCTCTGGGGAAGAGAACCATTTTTCTTTGTCTTTCTCTTCCAAATTCTCTGCTCTCAACAATCTATGTAACAATCAGCGCCTGTTGCACGCACCCATTCCTCAGCTTGCTAGAAGTTCCATGCTACTGTAGCCAATTCCCAGCTGCCATTATTCCCTTGGTGCACAGAAAGGCACGGTTACATACTGAGATTTTATATTGTACGATTCCAAGGTCCACTCAGGCCGTTCTCTCTTCCTATATTTTAATAATATCATGCAATCAGTTTTATCAGAATTTTTGATTGTACTTGAATTAATTATTCTTAAAAAGTTTACTGCTCTACCTACATACAGGTCATACTGTGCTGGTCACTGACAGCAATCAATTTGCTAGCTTTATGGCAGTCCTTTACCCTCAACAGCACAATGCAGCAGCATCAAGAGATTAACAGGATTAAAGCAGATGATTTGAGATTAGAGTTAGCAGAGCCAGAATGGAGAACCACATCAAATATTGAATACATAAACTACAGACTTTAATCATAACATTTAAGAAATAGTGGCTAGTAAGCTGTTTAGTCTTTTGAACCTGTTCCAGTTTTCAATAAGATCATGACCAATGTTCTAACTAGGTTTAATTTACCCATCATCCCCATATCCCTTAATGTCCAAACTATAACTTCTGCCTTGATATACTCATAACTTTGCATCACAACTCTCTGTAGCAGAGAATTCCAAACGTTCACAAACATTTGGAGTGAAGAAATTTTTCCTCATTTCAGTCCTTAATGAACGATTCTTTATTCGCACCATGACACCATGTTCTGGGCTCCCAATTAGAGGGAATACTTTTCTCAGCATCAATTACGTGAAGGCACTTAAGGATTTGTGTGTTTCCATTAAATAATCTCTCATTCTTCCAAACTCCCAGGAAAATAGGCCTGGTTCATTCAATCTCTTGGTATTGGACAATTCCCTCCTTCCAGTAACAAGTAAAATTTCCCAATAGGGCATTATGTCCATAATAGGGGCAAGGAAGCCAAAACTGCAAGAGAGTCCTCCAGCCATGTTCTCATCAATGTCCTCTAAAATTGCACTGAGGTGATTTTACACTTATATTCCACACTCTTGGTAATAAAACCCAACATTTCATTTCCTGCCTTATGCTTGCTGTATCTGCAAGTGAACTTTGTGATGTATGTACATGGTGACCCAAGCTCCTCCGAATGCAAAATTTTTCAGTCACTTTCTGTTCAAAAGATGTACTTTGTTTCTTTGCTTATTAAAGTGAATAATTTCAAATTTTAATATATTGTGTTCCATCTGCCATATTCTTACTCTTTCATTCAACCCATCAGTACCCCACTAAAGCTGCTTTGCATTTTCATTATCACTTACTTTCCCACTTAACTTGGTGTTAGCAAGTTTGGATACATTGCACTAAGTTTTCACATCCAAGTCATTGATAGAGATTGTAAATAGCCAAGTCTCAAGTACTGATCCTAACATTATCCCACCAATTAGAATTACATTCAGTCAACTCAAAAGCCATTTTAATCCTACTGTTTCCCATTTATTATCCAGTTTTCAACATATGCTAATATAATAAACCCAATTCCATCGAGTCCATTTTTTTGTAACAATCTCGTGCAGCATATTATCGATTGTTCTTTGAAATCTCAAAAACATTGCATCCATTAGCTCCCCCACATCCATCCTAATTGTATCCTCAAACATTTCTAACAGTTTTGTCAAACAAGATTTATCTTTCTTATAATCCATATGGTTTATGTTGAATCATATGATTTTCAAGTACTGTGTAACATCATCCCTAATAAATGCTAGCATTTTGCCTATTGATGTTAGATTAAGTGGCCTATAGTTCTTGTTTTCTTTTTTCTTAAAATAATATGTATTGTTTGCCACCTATCAATCCTTGGAATCTTTTCCAGAACTGAAGCAAGTCTGGAAGATCAACCCAATGTATCATCTATTTCTGCAGCTATCTTTTTAAAAACCTTAGGATGCAGGTTGTCAGATCCACAGGACTTGTCCCCAGTTAGTCCCATTAACTTCTCCAGCACAATTTCTTACGTATACTGATACGTTCTTCATTGTTGCTAGACTCTCGGCTCGTCATTATTTCCAGAAAGTTTTGTCTTCTACAATGAAGTTAGATTCAACATATTTGTTTAATCTCTCTGCCACTTTGTCATAGAGGTATCCAGCATGGAAACAGACCCTTGGTCCAACTAGTCCACGCCAACATGTTCCCAAACTACACTAATTCGATCTGCCTGCGCTTGACCCATATCCATTCAAAGTTTTACTTTTCATGAACTTATCCAAGTGCATCCACCACTTTCTCCGGCAGTTCATTCCACAAAACACTGCGTAAAAAAAGTTGCCCCTCATGTCTTTTTTAAATCTTTATCCTCTCACCTTAAAAATATGCCCATTAGTTTTGAGTTCCCCCACCTTAGGAAGAAGGCCCTTGTTATTCACCTTGTCTATGCTCACGATTTTATAAACCTCAATTAAGGTCACCCCTCAACCTCATTTGCTCAGTGAAAATAAGTCCCAGTTTTTCCAGTCTACTTTTATATTTTAAATTTGCACCTGCCACTGAAGGTGAGTTGAAATAATTTTCTTTTATCAGTTTTTGAGTTTATTTTTCTGTAAACAATACATCTCAAAAAACTAATGGACAGGCGTCGATGAAACACAGGTCAGGTATGGCCCAAAAAGAACTGATTATTATTAAGAAAAGATGTGCATCCAGATCCTCAAAAATGCTTTTCAAAGGATCTGTTAACATTAGCAATTAGACCAAATTCTCTTTTATATTAAAAGAAACACAGTGGGCCTGTTTTAATTAGAACATTGTTGATTTTTATTTTTAAAAGAATGTTGTGCAATTTCTCAGCTATTGTAGTGGATTTGTCAGTCATCTAGTGTGAGGAGTTTTCACAGCAGGTTATTTGGTGTGCTGTGCATTGGCTTAAAGCCTCCTCAGTGAGATGAAAGTTCTTAATACAATGATTTCTTATCATTTTGTAGTCACAGAGAATCATCCAAAGAGGGAAAAGCCTCAAGGAAGAACTATGTAATTGTAATAACATTGACTTAACACAACATGGCTGAGGTTTGTACTTAGGATGTGTTTTCATTTGTTTCATTTGTCTATGCCTCTAATGTGCCTATTCTTACTTTCATTAATCTCGTCCTTTTTACAACCTTTGTGAATGTTTATACAATCTGTTTTGTGTGTCTTGCTGGTCTACTCCAATTCTTTTTCTCTATTTCCTGGGCTTCCTTTGCTGAACTTAAAAGCATTTAACCTTTAGGCTTTCAACTTTTTTTTTGAAAAAGTCAAACATCAAGCCTTTTTGTGTGATCAAATATCATCTCATTCTTATTAGCCACGATTACACACTTCTTCCATGGGCTTTTTTGTACCTCAGAAATGTACATCTGTTTCATATTATGTTTCTATTTTTTAATTGCTAGTCTCCAGAATAATTAGACATTCCCTCCAATTAAATACTGGGAGGGCTGAACCATTGTTTTCAAACCCTCTCCAAACTCCACACTCATGGTGCACAAGCCTTACTTTCTTCTAAATGCCATCCACCTCAATTCTCTATTCTTCCTAGACTATGAACCTCCTTTAAGAGGAGAACGGATAGCCGAATTGCCCAAAGCTTTTGCCGGCAACACTTCTAACTGATGAAAACAGCACCCTATCCCTTTCTGTCTCCACACTTAGTTCCTTCCCAAATGTAGTACAGCTACCTGGAGATGAACACGGGAGAGTTAGAAAATCAAAACTTGGATTCCCAATACCACAGTACTGGTGTAACAGTCCTTCTCCACTTTCATCAACAACTAAAGGTCAGGTTTAAATGCATCAAAAAATAAACAAACTGCACTATGGCATGAAATGATGAACTACAGCTATCTAAAAAATTGAGTTATTTTACCTTGTTTTACCTAGTTCCACAATGCAACATCCATATTCAGTTCCAAATGTTATCTTGATATTTCTATAGTCATATGTCTGTCTTCCATCAAGACGCTGTTGGTTAAAAATGCAGGATATCAATCACATTTAGAACAAATGGTTTTAGTTTGTGGCAGTTCTGTAACTAAATTCCACCCATATTCACGATGGATTATGGCTTGGATCTGACAACACATTTTTATCTTCTTTAACGGTAAAATAGAATTCACCCCATGTTCCATTACAAGTTTTTAACATATCAGAAAACCATTAATGTAAAAAGCAAAGTCCTCAATTTTACCATAATGCTGATTAAGATAGAAGGAATGGTGCCTCTCAACATTAGGCATGGTCTCAGAATAAATTCAGACTGAGATGAAGAGGAATTTCTTCTGATGGTTGCAAGTCTTGGAACGCCTTGCTACAGACAGCTGTGGAGGCACAGTCTCCCACAGTATGTTTAAGGCTGACATAAATAGATTCCTGATCAGTAGGGGAATCAAGGATTTCAAGAAAGGGCTGGAAAGTGGACATGAGGAATTTTGGATCAGCCACAGCAGGCTCGAGGTACCAAATGGCCTATTCCTGTTCCTATTTTTTAATGGTCTTATAAAGATCCCACAGCATCTAGGACTTGCACCTTATTTAGAGAAGGAAGGTGGAATATTGTTATTGGAGTAATAAATTTGAAGACATGAGTTCAAATCCTACCACAGAATCAGAGGAATTTAAATGAATCAAATAACACAGATTTTTAAAAAAATTATCCAATTTTCATAAAAAGACTACTAAAGTGAAGTGTTTTGTTGAAGGAAATCCAATGCCTTTACCCATCTGGTCTACACATGACACCAACTCCACAGCAATTTGATTGAATCTTAATCAAATTTTGAGGTGGCTTTGCAAACCACTTTGTTATTATATTCGAGGGAAGGGCTGACCAGCATTTCGTCAAGGACAATTAAGGATGGGCAATAGCTTCTGGTCTTTCCAGCAAGACCCACATGCCATGAATTACACCTTGAATTGATCTGATCTAATCACTCCAAAGTTTCTTTTTGGGGAAAACAAGTCCGCTGGAGCGAATTCTCCTTGATGTTTTGTTCAACATTTATTCTTAAAATCAGTATGACTAGAAGAAATCAATCAGGTTATTTATCTCACTGCTGTCAATGACAACTTGCTATGATCAAATTTGTTGTCGTATTTTCCCATACCACTTACTTATTGATAAACATATGACTTTGGAGCTGAAGTAGGTCATACAGTCCTTTGAGCCAGCTCCACATTCAGTAAGATCGGGGCTCATCTGGCGGTGGTTGAAACTCTACTTTTCTGTCTGCCCTACAAAACATTCAAGTCCTTGTCTAGAAAATGTTAGCCTTGAATAAATTCAACAACACAGCCTCTGTGACTTTCTGAAGAGAACTGCACACATTCTTGATCCTCAAATAAAATAATTCCTCATCCCAGTCTTATAAGGATGTGTATCTTAAGATGTGTGCCCTAGATTTCTCCTCCCTCACAAGAAATGTCCTCCTGGCACCAAGTTGCCTCAGGATCTCGTGTTTCAATAAGTTCACTTCTCCAGGCTTCAATGGGTACAGATCCAATCTTTCTTCAAAAAGAGTCAGCAAGAACTGCCGATGCTGGAGTCAGACATAACACAGTGTGGAGCTGGAGGAACACAGCATGCCAGGCAGCATCAGAGTAGGAAAGTTGACGTTTTGGGTTGGGACCCTTCTTCAGAAATGGCTCAGAAGGGTCCCAACCCGAAACATCAAATTTCCTACTCCTCTGATACTGCCTGGCCTGCTGTGTTCCTCCAGCTCCACACTGTGTTATGTATTTCTTCAAAAAGACTTTTATCACAGGATTGAGTCAATGAATCTTCCATTCTCCTTTCAATAAACACAAACATTCCACTGTGCCAACATTTTGTACTTCACATAATAGGTCACCGGATCCTTCTACACCTCAGTTCTGCAATTTCTCTCCATTTAAATAGTATACACTTTTAGTGGTGGATAAGTTGTTGGAGGGGATTCTGAAAGAAGGATTTACATACATTTGGAAAGGCAAGGACCGATTGGGGATAGTTAACATGGCTTGTGCATAGAAATCATGTCTCACAAGTTTGATGGAGTTTTTTGAAGATGTAACCAGAAAGATAGAAGAGGCATGGACTTTAGCAAGGCCTTCAACAAGGTTCTGCACAGTGGACTGGTTAGTAAAGTCAGATCACATGGGATCCAAGGAGACCTAACCAATTTAATACAAAATTAGCTCGACAGTAGGAGACAGCAGATGGTGTCTGCATGTTGCTGTACAATCTGGAGGCCTGTGACCAGCAGTGTTTCATAGGGATCAGTGCTGGGTCCAATATTGTTCATCATTTATGTAAACAATTTGAATGAGAATATAGGAAGCATGGTTAGTAAGTTTGTGGATGACACCAAAATTAGTTGTGTAGTGGACAGTGAAGATGGTTATCTAAGATTAAAATGGGATTTTGATCAATTGGACCAACATGCCAAGGAGTGGGAAATGAAGCTTAATTTAGATAATTGCGACATGTTGCATTTTGTTCAGATAAATCTGGGCAGGACTTACACAGTTCATGGTTGGGGGAATGTAGTTGAATAGACAGACACAGGGGTTCTGGCACATAGTCTCTTGAAAGTGGCATTACAGGTAGACAGGGTGGTGAAGAAGGCATTTGGCATGCCTGCCTTCATTGGTTACAGCATTAGTATGGGAGTTAGGATGTCATGTTGTGGCTGTATAGGACACTGGTGAGGTCACTTTTGGGATACTGCGCACAGTTCTGGTCACCCTGCTATAGAAGATTATTAAACTGGAAAGCGTGCTGAAAAGATTTACAAGGATGTTACCAAGACTTGAAGGATTGAGCTATCGAGAGAGGCTGGATAAGCTGGGCATTTTTCCCTGGAGTATAGGAGGTTGAACGGTGACCTTATTAAAATTTCTCTCATTATGAAGGGCACGAATAAAGTGAACAGCAAAAGTCATTTCTCTAGGGTATGGGAATTCAAAAGTAGAGGGCATAGGTTTAAGGTGAGAGGGGAAAGATTTAAGAGAGACCTGAGGGGCAACATTTTCACATGGGGGTGGTGTGTATATGAAATAAACTGCCAGAGGAAGTGGAAGATACAGGTGCAGTTACAACATTTAAAAGACATTTGGACAGTGTTATGGACCAGACCAAACCCCATCGAAACATATTAAGAGGATAGTCCAGACCCTAACTTCTTCATATTTTAAAGGTAAGCATAAGGTGTTGTATTTCAGATGCAATTCAATTGGTCAAACTGCTCGACTTTAAGCAAAACACACTTTACTTTACAGTTAAAATACAGGCAACATAAAATCAAGAGAATTCGCTTAACTAACTGTATCAAAATGCTTAACAAAATAACAGATATATTAACTACTACTAATTAACTGTTCTGATATAGTAACATCCCATAAATACACCCTTGGCAATGGCAAATTCAGTAAAACAGATAGTCTCATCAGCAACTCAAGCAGCAGGAAGAGAACCCCAGCTTTTAACCATAACAGAGAGAGAGGAATTAGAGCTTCCACATCCAGGTTCGAGACCCCAGCAGCTGCAGAAAGCTAAAACTAAAAATCCTGGTTCTGTGGGAGCTTGACCCCCACCCATTCAGGCATCTTTATTGTTCTAATTCTTAAAAAAACCCAAGGCCTACCAAACTGTTGATTCTATTGTCTTTGAGCAGACTGCTTTGTGCCTCTATCTCAACCTTTCTTCACAAAAAAGAATAAGTACCGAGACACCTCTTAAAACCATAGTATTGTCATAACAGGTGCATGAATAGGAAATGTTAAGAGGGATTTGGCTGTTGGTTGATGGTTGATGTGTACAGTAGTCAGGATATGGGAATAAAATAAAGCAGGAGATAGAAAAGGCATGTAAGAAAGGCACTATTACAACAATCATGTGGGATTTCAATAAGCAGAGGGACTGGGAAAACTATTTTGGATCTTAAGAAAAGAAATTTCTGAAATGTCTTCAAGATTTTTTTTTAGGGGTAGCTTGGGAACACTAGGGAATAGGCAATTCCAGATTTGGTGATGTGTAATGAGGCAGATTGATTATTGAGTGCGAGATGAAAGAACCCCTAGTGACCAAACTGCAGGGCAAATTCTGGAGGGAGAAGCTGGAATCAGATGTAACAGTATTACAATTCAGTAAAGGTATCTACAAAGACATGAGGGAGAAGCTGGCCAAAGTTGACTCGAAGGGAAGCCTAGCAGGGAAGACAGTGGAGCATCAGTTAGCAGTCATATTGACCTGTAAAAATTTGAATGACTACACTATAAAATTAACATGAACCATTTTGGGACTTCCAGAGGATACTATAAAAATGCAGATTCTTTGTTTATTTAAACAACAAATAACAACTTGAGAGAAGATGCCGCCTCTGAAATTTCCTAGACTTTTTGAGCATAATTCACATCGACTACAAAAAGCTTCTCAGCAAGGACCAAATCTAAGGAAGTCTGGAGAAGTGAACAGAAGCACCCACATCCCGACATCAGGAAAAACGTCCCCAAATTAGTTGCAGGCACTGGCTGGAATCAAAATGGAAATCCAACTCTATTCTTGTAGAGGGATGGCAATTGGATTCGTTACTGAGCCACCGAAAGTCAATTATCCAAGTTATGTGAAGTTTAGTGGTGGTTCAGAATTCACAAGAGTCACCCACAAAGCAAATCCTGTCAGGATTGAGGGCGGTCTACCAGGGGTCCCTCATTCATAGGCTCTCACTGCAAGATTTAACATTGAGGGGGGAAAGGGAGGGCTAAAGCCACATACTTGCCCTTGCATTTGAGCCAGTCCTGCTCTCACTCATCTGTTTCCCTGGTTAAGGGCTCTAAGCATTATCAACAGTAGCCACCTCTCTCACTAGAAAATCCAACTCACGACAGGACCTCATCGCTATAATAATGCAGAAAATCACTTCCCTTCCCCACTCATACTGAAGACTGACGCAGCGCATTCCACTCACCATGCACTCTGCACTGGCACCAAGCCCTCTACTCACACAAACACATGTACCCTGACTCCAGACACTAGTACAGAGCTCTCATAGGTCACCAGTTCTAGCCTCGTACTAAGCTTATCCCCAGTCCATCTTCTCTTCACGCTGAGCACTAGCATACAGACCAATGCTCACGCCAACACAGCATCCCATTTCACCTCCACTCCTTCACTGTGTATTGGTACATGCCAGTGCAGACTAGGTCCTACTACCTCACAATGGCACACCCCGGCCCCCCGCCAACACACACACAGGGCCCTGGCACACCGCACCGCATCCCCCAATCCCCAACACAGGGCCCTAAAACAGACTCAAGCGTCCGACGTCAACAAAAACTAATGCTCAGCACATTGGGCTGAGAATTAAAAATTGGATCCTCGCTCGTTTGGTACCTGTTTCTCGGCGAGAGCCTGAAGAATAAATTGTCTCTCACAATTCGATAACGGAATCTCCCTCATTTCGAATCGACAACTACCTCGAGACTTAACAGACAGAGATTCCGGCGCTGCTATGACATCATCAACCTGCGACCCAAAACCAAGACGCGTCAGAGCCTCTCAACTCCAAAGTGACCAGGAGCTGGGAATGGGACACAACTGGAGCAGTGATCAGGAGTTCGGATGGGATAGTGATCAGAAAAGCTTAGTATGGAACTGTGCAGGAGCTAGGGCTGGGATAGTGATCAGGAGCTGGATATGGAGACGTGACCGGAGGTAGGATTGGAGCAGCGAGCAGGAGCTGCGATTCAGACACTGGGCAGTAGCTGGGCATAGCAATAATGACCAGGACAACAAGGTGCAGAGCTGGATGAACACTGCTCCTATGATGCTGCTTGGCCTGCTGTGTTCATCCAGCTCTGCACCTTGTCTCGAATTCTCCAGCATCTGCAGTTCCTACTATCTCTGATTCAATAATGACCAGGAGCTGCGTTTAGGAAAGTGGGCGTGTGCTAGAAACGTGTCATTGAACTGGGTCTAGTTCAGTGGCCCAGAGGGACTCTGGGCAAGGGCTTGGAATGGGACAGCCGGGAATGGAAGTGTGCAGGAGCTCGGAAGGCAATAGCAAGATGGAATTGTGAATAGAATAATGAGCAGGAGCAGGGATTGGGAATAGAACAGTGAGCAGGAGCTGGACGTGAGCCAGCAATCAGGGGCTGGACATGAGAAAGCAGTCAGGGCCTAGGTGTGGTGTTGGACAGTGATCAGGAGCTGGGCATGGGTCTGAGACACTGCAGGAGTTGGCACTGGGAATGGAGCAGTGAACAGGAGCTCAGAATGTGACGGTTTGCAGGATCTGTGCCTGGAACTGAGCTTGAGCTGTGAATGACGAAGTGGGCAAGGACTAAGAATGGGACAATGAGCAGGGACTTGGACAAAGTAACTAATCTTCCTTATTTTATAGGATTGTCCCTTAATTCATCTTTTGTTCTGTCTCTTATCAGTTTTTCTCAAAATGCCATTTGAGTCTGTTTCTAGAGTAGCGACTGTGATGTGGCAGATTCTCAATTTATTATAGGATGACCTTTCCACAACCCTTTTTTAAAAAAAAAATCATTTTCCCATTTCAATGCATAATCAAAATTACAAGGGCATGGTGGCTCAGTGGTTAGCACTGCTGCCTCATAGCCCCAGGAACCTGGGTTCAATTCCACCCTTGGATGACTGTCTGTGTGGAGTTTGCACATTCTCCCTGTGTCTGTATGGGTTTCCCCCAGGTGCCCTGGTTTCCTCCCACAGTGCAAAGATGTGCAGGCTAGGTGGATTGGCCATATTAAAAAAATTGCCTGTAGTGTTCAGGGATGTGTAGGTTAGGTGGGCTATAGGGAGATGGGTCTAGGTAGGATGCTCTGTGGGTTGGTGTTGACTTGTTGGGCTGAAGGGCCTGTTTCCACAATGTAGGGATTCTATGAAATAGTTCTTACATAAACTACACAAATCTTTTGTGTACATTTTCATGGATGAAAATGTTAAAATCCTTCTAGAAGTAATGATGAATCTAGGGGGTAGTGTAAATGAGCTACTACAAAATATTACTATCACTTTAAAAAGAAAAATAGAGAACTTAATGGAATTTCAAATGTAGATATGCCCAGGTTCAAATGATCTATATCACAGAGTGTTGAAAGAGGTGTCTGTAAAATAGATGATTCGTGGTCATCTTTCAAAATTCCCAGACTCTAGAATCAATGCTGCAGATTTGAAGGCGCCCATTGTAACCCTACAATTTAAGAAAGGAAGGAGATAGAATGTCGGGAACCTGTTAGCTCAACAGCATCAGTCTTAAGGAAAATGCTAAAATCTGTAATAAAGAATATGATAACAAGACACTTAAAACATAATGGTTAGATTTGGCAGAGTCAACATGGATTTATGAAAGGGAAATCATGGTTGCCAAACTTGTTGGAGCTTCTTCAATATGTAGCTGTCAGAATAGATAAAGGGGTACTGGTATTTATGGTCTATTTAAATTTCTGGAAGGCTTTCAATAAGGTCTCACACAGGAGGTAGTAAACAATTAGGGTGCATGATATAGGGGACAAATACAGACATGCATTGTGAACTGATTAACACACAGAAAACAGATTAGAAATGCTCATTTTTGTGTTGGCACATCGTGAGCAGTGAGGTACTGCAAGGATTAGTATTTGGGCCCCAGCTATTTATAAGAAATATTAATGATTTTGGATCTGTGGATTAAATGTAATATTTCCAAGTCTGAAGATGACTTATAATGAAGATGCACTTCAGGGGGATTTAAAGAGGCTAATTGAGTGATCAAAAGTTTAGTTGATGGAATACAATGTAGAGAAATTTGAAGTTATACAATTTGGTATGGTATGAAGTCATACTCCACAAAGGAGCCTTTGCATTGCTTTTCATTAGAGTGCAGCAATTAGTTATGTTTAATTTGAGGGTAACCACACCACAGCATGGAGTAAGGTAAGCAGGCAGGCAGGCCTCCATGAGCAATCCAATTTGTTAGAAAACTAAAACACAGAATATATCTTCAATGGTCAGAAGTTGGGAAACATTGAACTTCAGAAGGATCTGGATGTCTTTGTTCATGAATCACTGAAAGTTAACATGCTGGTATAACAAGCGACTGAGAAGGAAAATGGTAATTTTGGCCTTTATTAGAAGAGGATTTGAATACAGGAGTAACAATGTCTAACTGCAATAATATCAAGCCTTGGTGAGGGCTCTTGTGGCACAGTGTCAGTGTCTCTACCTCAGGCCAAATCCAGGTTCAAGTACCACCTGCCTGGATGGAGTGTCATAACATATCCAAACAGGTTCATTAAGCTTACTATAGGGCCTTGGGGAGACCACACTTTGACTATGAGAATGAGTGCGTCAGGCTTGATTAGTCTATGGGACAGCTTTCCCAATTTTGACAGAGTTCCTGAGTTAATGAGGAGTGCTTGACAGATTGATTGGGCAGGGTATGTCAATGTCATGTTTGAATCCATTGCTAATACCTGGCAATTCGTTCAGCTTTATTCTCATTGATCCAGATCTTCCAGTCAGTGGTGAGCCTATTTTAACTGTGCAATAATAAAAAAAACTCAACGCCCCCAGAGACTAGACTTCCTGTCCCAGCCTTATCAGTGAGCCTAGGATGAAACCTGTAGTAAAGGCAGTGCAGAAGAGCTGAAGCACATGTCCCTTGTGACTGGGAAAGTCTATAAAGGTTGAAGACAGCAATATAGAAACTAGGAGCAAGAGCAGACTGTTCAGTCCTTTCAGCCTACTCTACCATTCATGGCTTGATCCTCTATCTTAACCCCAAATTCCTGCTTTCTCTACATACCCCTTTATGGCTTTAATATATAAAAAAAATCTCTTTCTTGAATATACTCAGTGACCTGGCATTTACAGCCTTCTGTGATAGCAAATTCCACAGGTTCACCACTCTTTTTAGTGAAGAAATGTTTCCTCAATCTCAGTCCTACAGGATCTACCCCTAGTCCTGAGATTGATCCCGGTTCTAGATTCCCCAACCACGGTAAATATCCTCCTTCAGTCTAGTCAGTCTTCCCTGTCAGAATTTTATACATTTCAATCAGATCCCCTCTCATTCTTCTAAACTCTAGTGAATACGGGTTCTGTTGAATCAATCTCAACTCATATGACAGTCCAGCCATCCTGGGTATCAGTTGATTGGACATTTGCTGCACTCCATCTCTGGCAAATGTATCTTTTCTTAGGTAGGGAGACCAAAACTGCATACAATACTCCCGATGTCATTTCATCAAGTCCCTGCATGACTACAGTAAGACTACTGCTTCTGAACTCAAGTTCTCTTAAAATGAATATACCACTTGCTTTCCTAATTGCTTGCTTGCTGCACCTGCCTGTTTATTTTCACTGGTACAAGGACACCCAGATCCCTTTGTACATCCACATTTCCCAATATGTCATCATTGAAATAAAATTCTGTCTGTGTTTTTTCACACCAAAGTGTATAACTTCACATTTATCCATGTTATACTGCATCTGCCATATGTTTACTCACAAGCATCTCAAGTTCAATCAGTTAGCTGATTGTTTCAAAGTTTTCTGGCATTCCTGAACTATGCAGTTTTTAAAATTGTTTTGTTTTCTTTTACACTTTATTTTATATAACAATTGTATGTTACTTAGCTATTTGCATGCAGAAAATGTCAGTATAATGGGTGTTCCAGAAGCAAGGGACTCATAATTTCACAGATGAAGATCTAAATAGGCTTCTGAGTGAAGTGAAAGTGAGACATCACTGTATCCTTGGAAACAGAGAAACAAAAGTATTCAAGAAAATAAGCAACTTAGCTTGGAGGTAGTACAAGAAATGTGTGAAACGATGCCACATCAAACTAAACGAGTTGGGGTGATCTGTCACAGTATGCACATAAAATTTCTTGTTAAAAACTTTCAATCCTACTTTAGCACTGAAGACTCAAAAAAAGTTACGAGTTTTTTTTACTCATTTTACAAAGTTGTATAATGTAGCTTCTTTGGAGATGAATCTGACTTTAACATTAACAGTTATTTCTAATTTGAATCCTTAGTGAGAGCAGCGTATCTCCAGTATTCACAAAATATTGCATACAACAACACAGAAGGAGCCAGCATCATTTTTAAAATTTTCATTTGTTGGTTTACAGGAAGCAGATGTGTTGTGCTCACAAATGCTCTCTGAGGGTGATGTGTCATTCATAAAGAATCTTTCTGAACAGGCAGAACATACTAGGTAGCTTTTAGTGATTTCCAAGCCCATACTTTCCCAATAGTCAATTGGATGTGGGTTCAAGCTAAGGTGATGTTGTCAGCGGCAGAGTTCAGTTATATGATGAATAGAATTGTGAATGTTTTTCTCTGACAGGTCCGCGTTGTCCCTGGACATCTAAGGTGCGGATGAAGCTGAGTTGTTGGCTGTATCTGAGGGTCTTGATAGGATTGCTGCAGAAGAAAGGGAGCCAAGGTTTCAGAGGAAGGAAGACGGTATTGATATTTTTAATCAAACTGTTGAGACTCATTATGAGAGACAGTAGCACTTGAACCTGGACATGGAATTCTGTAATTTAATGAGGCAATCATGACTTTTC